CGTGAAATTAACAATACCCCGAGCATCTTAGAAAATGTCTTTAATTCTTTGAGGAACAGGTGTGAAAAGTGCTTGGAACAAGGAGGGGGACACTTTCAGCAGCTGCTTTAATTTATTGTTATAACAAGGAGGGGGACACTTTCCGCAGCTCCTTTAATTGTTTGTTATTGTTATCACGATTATTCTTTAAAATAAAGTTATATAGTCATTAACGTTATTGAAACTGACAGCTGCTATACAGCTCGTTGAGAAATGAGGTTAAGTTGGTCGCTATAAGCTACTCCCTACGTCCAATGTGTCAGAGCCAACTTCGACCACGTTTTTATTTGAACGCTCGATAGATACCTACATCCGTAGATGCATGTGAAAAAAACCGGAGAAGGATGGAGATAGTTCTGAATTATGTACATTAGGTGCACAGTATACTAATCAATCAGTAGGGAAAGTTACGTTTCCCGCGTCTTCCATATTTCCACCATTTTGTTAGCGACTGACAGTTATTACGATATCCGTTCTCATATTTTCATTCATTAATCTAGTATGTTTTCATTATTGTAGTTATATGTAACTAACCTCACTTAAACCTTCTTATATCAGCTTTATGCATTAAAAACCTTATTTTATGATGTTGAGTAGTTGTTCAGTTTAGTTATCTTGTTCTTGTGTAGTTTATTAGTGATTATTTATTTATAAGTAATAGTATACCCAGTAAATAGTTAATAATGAAATAAAAATTATAGTAAATTTACATTTTAAAATATGTTTAGAAAATAAATACGCTTTCGTAAGTTTTTGAACAAAATTTATAAAATTCAGACCGATATAATCTAATCTAAATTATTTCTGCTGGAATTCAAATAACTAAACCTGTATTTAACCAAAAAATGTAAACTTCTCTTAATAAAAAAAAACTCAATTTACGTGTAACACTACTACATAGCTAACAATCTCTTTATTACCTCGGATTATAATAATTAATCAGAAATTAATGTATAATAATTAAAAGTATTAAAACCAGGAAAAAGAACAGGTTA